TAGTACTTCATCAAAATCGTCCCGATCTCGTGATCCCGTAATCAGAATCACATGATTTTGTGCTCATTAGAACCGTCCCAGTGAGCTGAATCTAATGGTGGTTGATTCATCCAAATTGGTCTGGTACATCAAAAGTTATGAATGAAAATGTGAAACTTTTAATGTCAACATTCTTCTCTACTTAGTTTTGAGCTCTGCGAAAATTAGAGTAGGGCATGATAATCAGCAGTAGACAGACCATTAATCTTGGCAAGTGTTGTATTGGTGGTTCGAAAGATTTGTTGAATTCCAAGACTTTCAAAAATATTATAGACTCTGATAAAAGCCTTATAATAATAGATAGAGACTTCTTGTCATATCATTCTTCGCTCTAGAGGATTTTCTTCTATCAGTTCACCTAGATAGTAGACATAGTCTAACGGTGTTTTCCTTATGTAAGGTCGGGTTCTAAGTAACTTGTTTCTAATTTTTACAATTTCAGTCTGCCGATATACCAAATTAGGACAATGCAGATCACATCTTTTATGGTATTGATATGCTGATCAGAATATTCCAGATCATGGGAATTTTGTGTTACATAAGATACTATACAAATTGTAATATGTACTGCTATAATGATAAAATCTGAAATACTGAAATACTAACACTAAAATGTAGTATGTATAATATATCAAGTCTTAGTTTTTATACTCTCATCACTAATCTTGCTTAATTTATATTTTTATATTTATTTTTTTTATTTGTGTTATTTATAAATTATTTAAAATAAGTCATCTAATTCTATTTTATATTGATTAGATATTTATCTAATTGAAATTCAAGTATTTAATTTATTTACATGTTTATAACAACCTCAGAAATTAGTTCGGATCCAATAAAAATTTTATTAAAATTTTTATTAAAAAGATAAAAAATAAAAAAGTATAAAAAAAAATACAAAAAAAATTAAATTAACTATCGTGCTGTTATGTTCTGAATCTAGCTATTGTACTATTTCCCGAATTTAACTATTATGCTATATCCTGAGCTTTACTACTGTAGTGCACCCCGAATCTAACTATTGTACTCTTCCCAAATCTAACTATCATGCTATGCCCCAAATCTAACTATCATACTATGTCCCGAATTTAACTATCATATTACATTCTAACTACTATACTACATCCCGAATCTATCATGTTATATCATTTTATGCCCAAATCTTACTATTGCGCTACATCCTGAATCTAACTATTGTGCTATATTTCGTTCTAACTATCATGTACGTCCTGTTCTAACTATCATAGCATATCCTGTTCAAACTATTGTGCTATGTCCCATTCTAACTGTTGCGCTATATTCTGTTATAACTATTATACTATATTCCATTATAACTATTATGTTATCCTGTTCTAACCATTGTATTTCATCCCATTCTAACTATAGTGCTATGTCCTGTTCTAACTATAGTGCTACATCTTATTTTAACTATCATGCTATGTCCCATTCTAACTATTGTGCTATATCTTATTCTAACTATAGTGCTACATCCTATTCGTACTATTGTGCTATGTCCTTTTCTATCTATCATGCTACATTCCATTCTAACTATTATACTATGTCCCGCTCTAACTATTGTGCTATAGTCTTTTTTATATAAATCTGTAGATAAGATCTCAGAGATTTAATAAACTATACGTTACTTTAAAACTAATAAAGTATTGAATTAAAAGTTCAGCATATAACTGTATACTTACTTGTCTTAACACAACAGGCTTTTACGGTGATCTTGCACTGAATTGAGACAGCAGCGTAGCTTCATATTTCATATTAGCTAAAAAAAAACTGGGTTTTGATATCCTATTTACTTTTAGCAAAACAGGTTTGTTGGAGGGATTAAATAGGATTAACAAAACTAGACGTTTTATACTACTTATTTGAAAACTTGCACTATCTAATAATTATTAAAAGAATTTTTTTGTAAGACGCTAAAGTGCGGCCA